ATCGAGGAGCGGCACAGGCACAGCCGCTTCTAAATTGGTGCTGGATTAACCCTGGAGTGGTAAAACAGATGGACCGAGGGTCAACCAGGGCCGCGCTGCTGCGTGTCCCGGCCAGGAGCTGCTGCGGGTGGTCGCACACCCCTGCGATCTTAGCCTGACACCTTATGTTAAAAATCTGTACTAAAGTGGTGTTCAGTGGGAATTGCCTGATATTCGCTCCTCATCACCCCAAATCCAGCCGCATTTCTGCCCCTGCTCTTTGAAAGCAGCAAGAGCAGGTACAGCGTGTGCCCTCCTGCTGCCACACACACTGCATGGGCAGCTGTGTGTTATGTTCATAATTTTTAATGGATACAGCTCTAGGCAGGTATCACCAGGTAAAAACACAGAGTTCCAGGGAGAGCAGGAGGGAGGATGAACCACAGCTTCAGCAGCAGGCACACAGCAGAGCCTTGACATTTCTTTAAAAGCAGCAAATTTGTGTGTTCGTTGGAGATGTATAATTGTCCTCCCAGGGGGATGGTAAGTGGCCGTGGCTCCCTGCCTCTGGCAGAGCTGGATCATGCTGTGCTCTCACTGCTCCATGGTTTAGCTTTCCCAGAGCTGTCCTTGGGCAGAGGGAGGGGAGCCCTTGCCATTGTACCCTGCAGCTCTGGCCCCCCCCACTCCTTGGGCAGATTTTGTGCAGAATTAGGAGGGCAATGGGTTTATTCTCAGTAGGAAAATCCCATGTCCCTTTGAGGCCGCTGGACCCGGCAGTGATGTTGCTGGCAGAATTCAACATCTATGGCAGCATTTTTACATAAATTGCACAAGACTTCAGCAAACCTGATTTCCAGCACTGTGAGCAGAAAAACACAGGTAAAACCGGTTAAAAAGCAAAGCGGGGTCCAGCCTGGGGACTCGTTTCTGGTCTTTTGGGAATGATTTCAGCTACCTGGAGTCACAGCACAGCCAGTGGAGGGTGGGCTGAGCCAGGACCTGGCTGTGCTGCCTGTGTGGCCCCCCGGCCCATCCCACATGGGAGCACAGGGAAACACACATGCCATTCCTTTAAAGGCGATACAGCCACCGACCTCTGCCACTCTGTGGGAGTGACACTGGCAGGAGCTGGTGTCCAGCTGCTCCATGTCCAGCCCACACTGGCTGCACAGCCTGGTACTAACGTGAGGCTGTGGGTGATGCAGCTCTCCCACCTCCCTGCCCAGTGCATTGCTGTGTCATCCAACCCCTGGGACTGCAGCAATCAGGCTAGTTTGCAGCCAGGCCTAGTGACATCCAAGGGTCCAAGCAGAGCTGGGACAGGACACAGAGACCAGAGCTGAGGGTAGCAGCAGCTTTGCACTACCCTGGAGCAAGGGAACAGCAAAAACCGAGCTGCTCTTACCCTGCAGCAGGCAGAAGATGCTACACCTGCCTACCAGGAGCTGATAAGGGTCCAACTTTGCCTCTTCTTGGCCCCAATTTAGCCCTTACTGCTGCAAACTCCTGCCCTTGGGAAGCAGGCAAGCTGTATGCCCTCTGGTCAGCAGCTCTCTGCCTGGCTGCACCAGGATTCATCTCTGCACCTCTGTGACCACAGCATATGAGCATGACACCACCATGGGACCAGCTTCCAGCATGTGTGTGAGAGCCTCTCTCCTCTCCTGGGACAGGAGGGACTGTGGAGCAGTACAGCTTGGGTATATTACATACTTACTAAGCTGTCCCTGCCTGGTGTGCTGTGCTGCAGTGGGGAATGAGGGATGGAGGGACATGTCTAGCATGGAGGAGACCTGTGACGGTCTTTTTTCACTCCACAGTGAGAAACCAGCCCTGTGATGGCTCCAGATCCTGCACAGAATCGTCAGTGGCCCCTGGTAGCTGTTTGTCCCCATATCCCAAGGACAGAGGTGGTGGCTGTAGTCATGCCACAGAGCACTCGGGACGTGGAGCTTGACCCAGTGAGGAGAAGGACCTGTGGTGTGATAGCTGTGGAAGGCAGAGTGAGGAGCAGTGAGAGGGATCGTTGCTGGTTAACACAGGGTGTTCTCTCCACCATTCCCTGTGCAGGGGGCACAGAGGGGATGGACTCAGTGACCTGTCACTGTCAATTCGAGCAGCCCTCAGGGAGACTCCGTAAAATGTCCTCCAAGTTCCTCTTGTCAGCCCGGATCTCAGCCAAGTCGCTCTCGAACGCCTGGATCTTCTCCTGCTGCTGTGCTGCCTCCTGCTGCAGCCGGCTGAGCTGGCCGGCCAGGGAGCCCGGAGCAGCCAGGCGTGACCACAGCCGCTCCAGCTGCAGCTGCCCAGCGCTCAGCACCCTCTCCACCTCCGTGTCCTGCTCCAGGTTGTCTGGGCAAAGGGAGAGGACATGGATGAGAGCAGACAGACAGGCAGGAGAGGTTCTGGACACACTTCAGGGGCTCAGACTCTTGGCACAGGGCAAACTATAAGGAGTAAGTGCAGCAGGGCATGGAGGCATTGCAGCTTCCCAGTGATAAGCAAATAGGACAGTGGCTCCAGACAGGGCCTGAGGACATGTCTCTCTTACAAATGGGTGATAATTTCCACCCCTTTGCAAAATTTCTTGGAGGCAAGAGTCCTGGAGTGCTCAGAAATGTACCCAGATGATCAAAGCAGGAGGAGCTGGAGCAAAATGAGCCAGCAACAAGAAGTGATCCCAGTGCAGTACATCCCTCAGCTCCAAAGAGCAGGAGAGCCCTGTGCCCCCAAGAGCCCACCCTTCCCCAGGAACCTGCACCCCACTCCTGCCCAGGTCTCACCTAGGCGGCTCAGCAGGTCGTTCAGGGTCTCAATGTCCGACATGAGCGAGCCCCGGGCTTCCTGGAGACTTTTTGCCATCTCATTCACCTCTGACACCACCTTTCAATGGAAACAGACACCACTGACCTTTGGCTGGACAGGAGAGGGGATCCCAGGAATGGCCCCAAGGCATTTGCCATACAACAGAGCCCAAAAGCCAAGTTGTTCCCTATGTTTTGGGCTGTGGGCAAAGCTCCTTCCAAGCTATGGAGGATACAACCTCTCCAGTGGGACCTGACTCACTTGGTGTGCTTCCTCCAGGTCCCCCCTGAGCTTCTCAGCCACACGCTCCTGCCGGGAAAGCTCCTGCTGAGTCTCATTTGCACGCATGGCGAGCTGGCTGGCGTGCTTGAGAGCCTGTTTGCTCTCCTGCAGCATGGTCTCTGCCTTCTGCAAAGGGATGGAGATGGGTACAGTCACCTGGGGACCTGCAGCCCTGCCTGCAACAGGCTGGGCTCTGCCTGTGGTGGCTGACAGCCTGGCCATGCCCAGCAGCTCCCCACACCCCACATCCCTTCGTTCAGACCTTGGCACTCTTCTCAGAGACTTGTTCAGCCTCTCCAGCTCTCCTCTGGGCTGTGGTAGAGATGGACAAAGAGTTTCCCAGTGTCTTCTCTGCCTGTTTAATCTTCCTCTGGGCATCCACCATCACCCTGTCCCGCACAATTGCCATCTTCCTGCTCAGAGCAGCCTGACCCTTTTGATGCTTCAGCACCTTCCTCATGCCTGTGGGAACAACTTAGCACTCACCAGTGTCCCCTTCTCCCCTTGGCACTCAGAGCCAGTCGTGGTGAGAGCCAAGCTGTGGCTGGAGATGCTCTGACCAGTGCCTTTTACCTTCCAAGCGGGCCAGGAGAGACTCTGCATCAGACAACACAACTTTTCCATGCAAGACAGCTGAGGTGGCTGTATCCCGGGCAGAGCCAGCCTGGTCCCGCAGCTGAGGAGAGGAGAGAAGGAGTGAGGCTGGGGAGTGCGTGAAGAGCTGCACCCAGCTGGGAAACCACTTATTTTGCAGGGACACTCCATGCAAGCAAGCAGCACTTACCTGCTCGAAGCCAAGAGTCCTCTGCAGCTCCAGGCGCAGTCCAGCTGCCAGTGTGCGGGATGCCTCGGCAGCCTGCTGAGCCAAAGGCTCCTGTGCCACCACTGCCTGCTCCAGCACTGCCAGGTCTTCTGCCAGGTCTCCAGTCTGCACTGGCAGCATCTGCTGCAGGATCCAGAAAGCCAACGGACCCTT